TGAACTAAACTTGAACTGAACCAAAACTTTGAGTTCAGGTTCAGTTCAAGTTCATAAATTTAAAGTTCAGTTTAGGTCCGGTTCAAAGATCTGCAAAATTTAAAGTTCAGTTCAGGTTCAGTTGAACTTGAACCTGAACCTAAATTGAACTGAACTAAACTTTGGAACACTATTTTGTATAATGTTATGCACATAATGCAGAATGCCTATCTCTAGATTTAGATCACAAATAAAATAGTCTAAGCTTTTATTCTTGCATATAATTTTTACTTTTTATATTTTATATATTAAAGTTAGCAACTCTTTATAGTTATTATGATAAAACTATTAATAAAGATACAAGTAAGGCCTCATCTTAATACCAAAAAAAACAATACACATCTATATATTCAACTATCTCTTTTCTTATATTTTATAACTTTTTATTATTAAATATATCAATTACTTTATACTTTAGTTTATTTAAATATACTTTTACATAGTTTATTATTTTTTTATACTCTATAGCTTCACATTATTAAATATATAAATTATCTTTTAATTTGTTTTTCTTAAGCACATTGAATTAAATATTCTATTTACTCTACATTTTTTTCTCTTTTTATTTTGCTTCACTTAGAAATATATAAATCTAGATAAGTTTTTGACCACTCTAGTAGGTTTAGATCATAGATAAAGTAGTCTGAGCTTTTATTCTTGTATATAGTTTTTACTTTTATATTTTATATATTTAAAGATTAGCAACTCATGTAGTTACTATGCTAAAACTATTAATAAAGATATGAGAAAGGCCTATCTTAATACCAAAAAAATTTTTTTTTAATTTTTTTCTTTTAAATTTATGATTTTGTTTTTAATATCTTAGAGTATATAAGATATAGATTCTAAAGTTTAATAATATTTAATAATATTTAAACTAAGTTTAGGCTTCTTGAATTTAATAAAGTTATATTCTACTCAAATTGTATTATTGTTTCTTTGTTTCTAAAATTATTCTATTTTAAATATTAATTATCCTTTATAAAACTTGAATTGCAGGTTATTGCTCACTTCTGCTAAACTTTATATCAAGACTAGTTATATAAAAAATTATATTATAAGATTATATAATAAATGAGTCATAAGTAATATTACTTCTAAAAATCATTTAGCTTTTATAAAATTGTTTCCGAAATAGTTATATATTCTAAATATTTTGTTTAATAATATAAAATTTAAATCTGATTTAAGTTTATTATAATTTAAAACAAATCAAGAACCTACATATTTAAAAAAACTTCTGATTTAAGAAAAGATTTATTTAAGATATTTTGTATATTAGATTGTAACAACAAATTTAGATCTCCATTTCTTTCCATTAATATATACTAAAATTAATAATGAAATACTAAGAAAACATACTATACTTATTAAAGCAAACATCCAACGAACACCCAACCTTTCTTCAATAGAAGTTTCAAACATCATTATAATTCCAGGCACACAAAATCTAATAAGACTAGTTAATGCCATAACTGAAGCACCACGTCCAGGACATGAATCGACAAGGTATGTAGATAATGTGCTAAATGTGACTAACGTTCCAAATGAACCTTTATTAAAAAAAAGTACAGCATAAAAGTTAAATAAATTAATATAATACAACAGCAGAAAAAGAAAGATTTATATAAACATTAGGATTGAACTCACATAAAAATATTAAAATTGCCAATACATAGATATTAAAATTAATGTCTAAAAGCCATCCATAAATGAAGCCAGTTACTGGAATTAATAATGAGCCAAACCAAGCGCTTTTTATTCTTATTTCAGGACAATAATCTTCACCGGAATTTAATATTGATTTCTTTGCTAAAAAATCCGAGTATTTTCCTCCTAAAAAACTTCCAAGCATAAACCCCAAAGAAGGTGCGATAAGGAACATACCAATTTCAGATGATGTAAAATTATATCGTGCAGAAAAGTTTGTAGGAATACTAATATTTTGAATTTGAATAATAATAGTTGATATACATATGTATATAATGATAAGAATGATAAATGGATATTTAACTAATTTTAATGGAGCCATTGGATTAAACCGAAGACTTGGATTAGCATTTAAATAATCAACATTAAAAGTTTCAGGAAGGAATAATAATATCAACATCAAGAGAAAACCACCAAAAATTGCCAAAATCCAAAAAATCCAACGCCAA